GGAAGAAGTTACAGTATTTCTTTTGTTCTTTTATACTGCTGTTCTCCCTGTCACTTCTCATCATTGCTCGTGCATATTTACGAACACTGACGGTCATCTTTTCCTTGCTTTCCCTTTGAGAACAGGTGTGAAGCCATTTGAATGTCTAACTTGCGGAGTAGCCTGGGCCGATGCACGTTCATTGAAGCGTCACGTGAGGACGCATACTGGAGAACGACCGTACGTCTGTCCAGTGTGCAATGAAGCTTACATAGATGCCCGGACGCTACGGAAACACATGACCAAGTTTCACAGGGACTACGTACCCTGCAAAATTATGCTGGAAAAAGATACTCTTCAGTTTCATAACCAGGGGACACAGGTGGAGCACGCCATCAGCATTTTAGCAGCAGACATGCAGGAACAAGAAACCGAGATTAGCGTTGGTGGTGGTGAGATTGAGACTGTGGTAGTGACAGGAGAGACGCTTGAAGCCATCGAAGCAGTTGCAGCTACTGAGGAATGTACATCAGTCTCTACTCTTTCTGACCAAAGCATCATGCAGGTGGTAAATTATGTATTGGCGCAACAGCAAGGACAGAAAATGGCTGAAGTGACACAGGCCATTGAAACTGTAGAAGTGGAAGTGGCCCATGTTACAAAGACAGACTGAGTATAGCGTATGAGACAGCAAGAAGGGTGAGGTCTTACGATCTCTGAGGGCTAAGTATTTAACTGGGTATCTGAGGCTTACAGTGATACCTATTTTCAAACAGTTAATCCCCAGTACTGAATGTCTTGGGGATGAAATACTGCACCATGCGTTACGGGGAAAAAGTTAAGATGCTTCAGTGTGGGCCAAGGCTTTGAAGGCTGATTTCTGCACTGGCCATAACTGTAAAAAAAAAAAAAAAGCCACAACAAAAAACCAAAAAAATACCCCCAAAAAACCCACAAAAAAAGTTGGAATAATAATGTTTTCTGTGTCATGGAGTAAAAGTATCATGCTGTAACTTTTAAAAAATGAAAAGGAAAAAAAATATAAAGCGGCTGCACTAAAAACTAGAAATGCACAGCTATCGGTAGCATTTTTTTCCTTTTGTTTTTATGTGCATTTCATCGAGTTTGTGAGCAAATTACCTGTATTGGATTCTGCCTGTTTACTCCCCAAGACAAGGGGATGTTGGAATGCTTCGTGCAGCGTGTGCTTCGTGCAACATACAGAAGACGTGAGGCTTTTTTCTTTGGGTAGATGCACCACTGGCAGTTAGTGAATCCCAGTTTTGAAGAACTGATTTAAACTCCAGGTCGGTGGGCGGCAGGTCTAAGGTTCAGCAAAACGCTGTGAAATGTTTTACAGATAATGGGCAGGGGTCCACTGAAGTCTGAGGAAGTGGTTCTCTGAGATGGATTGTGAATTTATGTTGACCAGAGGACGGCCCACTGCAGGGAGCCTGCTTAGAGAAGTAAACTGCTTTTTATTTGTGAGTGAGGAGCTTACGCTTCATCCTCTGCGCACAACCATGTTTTGTTTCAGGATGTTTGGTTGCATAAAGGAAGCTATCGCCTGCATTGTTGTATGTATCCAAAGCAGGCAACCTAATGATGGACGTTTCTAGTTTTGCATTACGTTTGATGTAGAAACTCTCAAAGGAAAAAGGTCTAATGGCACACTTCTTTGGGAATATAAATATACTGAAGTCATCCAGCTAGTTACGATCTGATCTTGTCTTGTATCATGTTGAAAGGAGGAGCCCTGATAATTCCCAAATGGGACACACAGCAATATCAGGATAGAGAACTCTGAAAATCTTAGTATGGGGTAAAAATTAATTTTTTCTCAAAATACCGTAGTCTCCAGAAGACCTTATGACTGCTGCTGTAAGAAAACACATCTGGGGCAAGCTAATTCCCGGCGTTAGGCCACATAGATGGAAAAATTCTTACTAGGTTTTCCTGCGAGTGAGCATGAATCACAGCCATGCTTGGCCCGAGTGTAAACGTCTGATTCAATACCACGAACAGCGCATATCTTAATCTGTACAAGGTGTGGGTTCTTTCATTGTTGTTTGTTCGGGTGTTTTTTAAGCAAGAAACATGTCTGTCGAGGAACCGTGCTACACGGATGAACAATCAGAACTGTATTCTTTAAGTTGTTCTCAGTCTATAGTTTTATCAAATGTTTCCCAACTTTGACAGCAGCAAGATATCCAAGGAGCCCGAAGCCTGTAATATTGCAGGGTAAACGTCCTAAATAAAGTTACCTGCGTGTAACTCTGTACTACCTGTGAAACAGACCCCCTGAACAAAATTTAAGCAAAATCTGTGACAAAGTAACCACCTCATTTGAATTAGTATCTCTACCTTTCATCTTAGTTAACTATTTGAGTATGTCTACTAAGCTACAGAATGGACTGTTCTTTTTATACTTTGCAAGCATGTAGATAAGCAGTTGTTGAAAATTTTTTAAGCAATATGTAGTTTTGAGTTCCTGCCTTGGATCCGAATTAATCTGTAGATGACTATTTCAAAGGTCAAGGTCTTCCTGCAGAGAAGTAATGTAGTTATTTGTACATCCTGCAGCCCTTTACAATTGTGTTCTTCTCTAATTACCAAATGGAGTAAAACTAAAATGAATACTTTAAAAAAAAAATACTGCTAGCTATAACTCTTGAATTTTTGTATGGTCAAGAATCTGGAGACAGCCATCCTGCTTAAATACTGCCGTTATGATGGGAGAAGATTTAAAAGAGCACTAGGTAAACTTTAAAATTTACTTCAATGTTTGTATCTTACAACTAATGATGTGTTACTAAAGTGAGGAAATGTTCAAGGAAAAATAGCTGTAAATAGTGCTAGAACATTATTTGTATATTTAGTGTGTTACCTTACAGAAAGAATATTACCAGCACCTTAGTTTAATCTTTGGTGCATTTATTTATTTGCCCAACCTATGGAAGAGACAGAAATGAATCTGAATTTCGGAGCCTTGTTACCCACTGTAACATGCTTTAACTGACTTGATGGCCTGCCGTTTAAAAACAAACAAACAATTGCAAAAAAGTTGTTTCCTGAACAAGACTCAGCCAGGAACATCAAAGCTGAATGTTGTGGCACCCCCTTTCCTAACGCAGTGTGCCTTACCTTTTCAGAAGGGCATGAGGTAAACGGGGGGCGTCACTCTTAGCTTTGCTGTTCCCATATGCATGAAGTTGCCTTATGTTTTTCTTTAGATTTCAGCTCTTAATTTAAGACGTTCACTACCCTTCTGCAACCTATTTGAAGTCAGACTGCAAATATGCAGTTGATATTATTTAATTTGATTTTTTTTAATAAAGTTCATGAGAAGTGTCCATTTATAAAGTATTCCTAGTGAATTCCTGTACATAATGAATTTGATCTGTACATTCTGCTGTTTTTATTGGGAGGGAAGTGTTACAGAATTATTTATTCCTCTTCAGTATTCAACCTTCCATATAGATGTAGATTTCTGGTCTGAATGGTTCTAGTAACACCTATTTTTAAATTTTTGCTTAAGTCTCAAAAAAATTAAGTTGTATGAGGAAAGGAGACCCACTGCCCTCCTAAATTGTGCCAGAACAGGGCTATACAGGAGCACAACATTAACAAAAGACAGCGTGTATTTACACTGAAGCCACTTTGGCTGCACGACCTCCTGGTGGATGAGGCATCCACTCGGCCCTCCGATACCCAGCCGTAACCATTGTAGCTTGTCTCGGGTGGATGTTGTTTCCCTTGACTTTGGGTGGCAGTATGGTACAGAAACCGGAAGCAACCATCGTAACAGCGCTTCTGCCTTGGCCCCTGCTCTGGGACTGGTATTTGAGCAGGGGTTGTGGCTTGGAAGTTGTCCTCCAGCGTCACTCTCCCGGCTGAAGGATGAGCTGTACAGCTGCTTCCTGGTGTGGGAACGAACGGCAGCTGGGGCTTTTTCATTTGCAGTTAGTTAGAGCAACTTTAAGGCAACATCGATGTTGCAGAAAGGCTGGTTGCTTTTTGTGGTTCATCCCGATTCCTAGGGGAAATGCTAGGAGCGTTTTGGCGTATTAACTCTTCTGTGAGCCCATACAGGTAACCAAGCTGAGTGGGAAGTATATAATCAAAAACGGGGGTTTCAAAAGGCTGAGTGCTGACGAGTAATGATGTGGCCCACCATTGAACAAATGCTATTCAATAGGGCTGCAATTACAGGTGAAAAACAGCAAAAAGTGATGTGTGGATAATTCTACCCCCCTTAGTTTCTACTGGAGCTCGAACCACGTCATTCCTGGCTGTTAAAGGAAGAGCCATGAATTCCTAAAGCATGGGCACGGTGTGTACATTTAATACGATAACATTCAGGAGTCAGTCTTACAGCTGCTCCCGACAACGTGGTGGGAACCTAGCACCTCTCAAGCAGTTCTTCACTGAGACCTGTCCTCCTGCAGAAGAGTTCCAGCTGCTGAAGGTGCGAGGCTCCAGGTCACCGCTGCCACTCTCAGGCGCAGGGCTGTTGGGGAATATGCTTTCAAGCCTAGTGTGACTTTGAAGGTACTTTTCGGAAAGTTAACAGTTTTTCTTGCACCCCTATAAAAGTTTTGTCCTGAGGGCAGTATTTCTTGTCTTAGGTAAAGTGCCCTGCCTTACAGATGGTAACATCCGTATTTATTAACTTAGTGCTTTTAGATGTGTAGTAGCCTAAGCTCTTCTTGTCATGGCCTTAAATTTTACATGTGAACAGGGCTGTGTTAAACAAGCATCTGAGCAACAAAAATAAAGCAGAGCCTAACATACTTGCTAGTTTCGCAATTACTTTTTACACTACACCGCTGTATTTGGTGCCTGCAATTCTATGTATCGGAGGCTGGTGTACGTATGAACGTGAAAGGCTACCACAGTTACACTTCTTTCACAAAAGCAAAGGCAGAATTACAATTTTGTAACAAGCTACCGAGCAGCAGCCAAGACTTTATATGCAACTACTATGTTTACAAATTATGGAAAGCTGTGGGAGAAAAGGAGAGATAATTATGTTTTTATTATGACTTGCATTACCTTAAGTTAATACACTTGTACTGCAAGGAAAACATAAACATAGGCTCATGATGTCAAGTTTCAGTGGAGCTCTCACTACAGAACCACAAATGCTTTATTTGTGCATCCATCTCGTCAGGAAATCCAATCCCCAAGAACCAAATTTAAGAACTATGTCACAAGATTAGCAAAGGTTTTTAAGATCTCACTATATGCCACTGAATCAAAAAATACGTACTCTTAATTGCTAGCTCTGACAGTCACCGCCACTCTTACGCACTCTACCTAGCCTAAAGGGTAGCTGGCATATATGTATCTATACCACAAAAGGTGTGCACTGTAGAGCTTAAAGGTTTGCTTTGGTAACTAAATTTTGCCTGGATGCCCACCACTCCAGACTTTTAAATGGACGTTTATCAACAGAAATTTAACACGCCGTATACAGAGTTCAAGTGAACAGTTCACGTTTCATGCTTTTAATTCTATGGATAACTATGCATCTATCCTGAGGCAACGGCTCCAAATGACTAAACACAAGTAGCTTTCCAAGCAAGCACTACATAGTCTTTTTTAAGATGCCAATATACCAAAATTAGGGAACAGCAGGAGATCCCTTCGTTAATAAAACCAGAAGAAATCAGGAAGGTGTTAATAGGCTAGAGTAAAAAGCAAATTGTTAGTTGTCCAATTTTTATGGTGTTCTAGCATCTCTTGGCAGAGGAACTAGAGAAATTATGGTGACTTTAGAATGTAACCTTCCATTCTGCAGCTTGAGGGCAGAACTACTCAGCATTCCTCAACTTACAATTTTATAATGAATTAAAAAAAACCCCAATTTTTTTTTTGCAGAACACCTGTCAAGGCTACTAACCACACAGATAAAAAGCCTTCTTGAAATTCTGTTGCTTCTCCGAACAGATTAATCTTCTCACCTTACAGCAGCCTAGACAGAGTTCTGGTTACACCAGTGATTTCCAATAGTTTAAAACCTCAGTTTGCCTCTTCAGGAAGCAGAAGCCACCATTTTCTCAAGAGCTGACTTTTCCTCCAAGTCTCCTCACCATGAAAGCCTTGGTAGAGTCACCCCCAGCAGACAGAACTCAGCGCAGCCGCGTGAGTTCTGACAAGGAGGTGCTCTACGAATCTGGCAGAGACAGAGATCAAGCGCATCAGGCCTGAATGCAGCTGTGGCTGCTGCGGTGGCGGTCACGTTAGGACACGATAGTTGGGTTTGTCAAAGTTGGCTGAATACTGTACTTGGGTCATCGGTGACATGGGAGTAAGCCCATGAAATTAAAATAGCATCCATCAGTCACCTTACAGACAGGCTGGTTGGGTACTTCTGTCTGCTGATAAAATACGGATGCTGAGAATCTGGACAGTGCACCTCCTACGCTTTTAAAGGAACGAAATCAGGTGTCTAAGGGGCTACACCCAGGAGTGCCTGAAACGCTGCCACTAGCAGGTGTCTGCACTGTTTTTTAGTTTGTGCTTTTTTTTATTATTATTACTTTAATATAGTTAGCATTAGATGAGTTTAGATCCATCCACAACCCAGCAGGCTCAAAAGCAGCCTAGCTGCAGGGTGGCACAGAGAAGGTTACCGGGTAACTACTTATATCTTCACCTAACGTCTTGCATGTTTTGCAAGCTGTTCAGGTGCTAAGTAAAGCTTTACCGCTAAGCAAGCATAAGCCTTCTGAGATAAAACTGCACAAGTTACACGGACAGACATTTCAACCACCGATAGGTATACATACCTTGCTATACTAAGCAGCTAAAGGTCTCAGCATATCTCCTGGAAGCACTTAAAATAGCTAAATCAGGCAGTTTACCACGAATTTTAGGATTCCCAAGTATTCTTAGAAAAAGAACGAAAAAATAACACACACACACCCCCAAGACTATCTTCATGCAAAGACCATGACTATTGTAACAAAAGCCTAGAACTTCAAGTGAAGTTCTAGCTAACATTTGCCTTGACAATACCTTTCAGATCAGTTCTTTCCTGCACGCGTCAGACATTAAACACCAGCAGACACCCTTGCAGCTACAAGATCAAGCTTGTTAGGCACTCAGTCCTGAGTGGATTCAGGCCATCCTGATCGATTTTCTTCCGTGAAGCACTGAGAAGGAACAGAACTCGTACATCGAGTGAGGCAGGATCTCTGCTCACCTTCAGCTGAGACCTAGAAGCTGCTGCAGTCTCTCACAAGGTCTATAAATGTACTTACTCCCACGGTCAATAAATGTAAGATAAATACAACTTTAGCTCTCTCGCTTGCATGGAAGGTATTTCCTAGCGTGTCTGCTGTTCTGCCTAGCAATTTCCTAAAGAACTTTGAAGTACTAGGAAATTCTGTTGAAATGAATGTCTACTTCAGCCAAAGATGCAGAAGACATTGTTGGTGGCAGGTTAACTAAAAAAAGAACAGGTCTCAAAGTCATCCTCTTATTCTTACTCAAAGTTCCCTTTTGCTTTTTCCTAATTGAAGTGACTGAGACAGTATCAAGTAACTACTAAGGAGCAAGATAAAATAGTTATTCACTGTGAATTACCACTATCTTAAAGGGATATATTTCGACAAACATAACCACACGTGATAAAAATAAGTGAAAAGTAAATGCTTCATTTTGCCTTGCCTAGTTCCAGTAATGCCCAAATCAATTTTGGAAGTCCTGAAAGTCAGTTTCGAAAGTGTGTTTTGTTTTAAATAAACCAAGGATTTCTGCTATGGAAAAAAAAAAAATGTATACATTTTTATGTTATGTTTATAACAAGGCTTTTAAAGAAAATAGTTACAGGTATTCAACTGCATCAGACTTCAAAAGAAAAAAAGATTACACATACAATACAAAAATACAAAAAAATATTTTTTAGAACTTACAAACTCAAAAGTCTTAAGTGGTCAGAGCTTTCCTAAAATAAAAAAAGAAAAAAAATACACTTCAAGATGCACTTTCCTTTCTGCACTCACAGGTTCAACTTTAGCATGAAGAAAGGTTTTAGAGGCAGGATGAAAGCAATTAACTCATTGAATTCTACAACCAGTTCCAGGCTGAAATTAATTTAGTGGTCAACACTATCAGGTATTTGAGTTTAAAAATAACCTGAATTTATTATTAAAAATAACCTGGAAAAAAACCCAAAATGTTTGCTTGGGGTGGGGGGGATGTGCTGGTAACTTTTTGCTTAACCAGTTCTGCTACTGCTAGTAAAATGGTTTAAAAACATGCAATCTGAATTAGACTGAAATTTAGACAGTCCTTACTAGGTTTGAAATCTTACAGCACTGTTCTGCAGTATGAAAGCTAGGAAATTAAACTGACCAGACTAATGTGGTTGTTGAAAATTACTGTGAAAGGCAGGCAGGTAGGAAAAAGTAGTTTTATTTCTGAAGTTGACACTTGTTAGAAGCATTAGGACTGCAAATACAGTATTCTTCTTTAACCTGATAGTGTCCACTGAGGTCACAGGCATCAAGGCATTTTTTTTTTAAATGGCAAGAGAGGGAAAGTGCATCTTAGATTTTTCATACTTAAGCAGTGAGTTACCGATTTTTGGTGTGGCTTTTATTCCTTCTAGGCATAGTAAAGAAAAATATTTCAACAAAATGTTAAGCTTAATGTACACTAGCTTGTCTTTTTTGGTGGTGGCTTTTGTGTACCACAAGGAAATGCTAACAAGCACTACTCAAGGCTAATGATTTAAAAGGAGCACACTGAAAATACTGATTCACCTTTGCAGTGAATATTCTTTACAGACTGTATCTAATATACAGACAAGGCCCATTTCCTTAAGGTGAAATGGGCCACAGAAGGTTACACATCCTACATGAAGTTTTAAACAAAAGTAGAGCTAAGTTACCAGAGCCACTCAGAGCAACATAATTCCTAGTTTGCAGAGACTTAACAAAAGGTGACTGCAGGGAGAAAAAAAATCCAGGTTCTTATCATTTCCTGCATAAGTTTATATTCAAATTAATAGTCGTAACACTTCTAGCACAAGACAATCCTCACTTTCTTTAGCAGTATTCCTAGGACTCAACTGTTTCTCCTGTTATGAAGAGGGAGCCAGAAGTGAGAATGCCAGAGCATTCAATGTTAACCTGATTAAAGAGACAGTAACCTTTTTCATCCACCTTAATTAATCACTGACAAAAAAAAAAAATCTTAAAAAGGTACCACTCCAATTTTTTTATTATCTGTAACCTTTTGAAACTAATCACATGGAACTACAAAATTAGCAAATGCCTTGAAATCTGTATACAAAACATAAATTACCTCTAATTTCAAACTCAGTTATTAGTGTACCACTCAAAATCTTAAAAAAGTGGCTCCAAAGATAGTCTTATGCCATTCTTAAAAAAGGAAACTGTTCCTTTAACGTTACACCCTCCCCTCCCCCCAAACACCCAACTCTCAATCCACATCATTTAGTTATTTTCTTGGTCGTGGACGTTTCCAAGATGAGATTTTATATTTCGTTCCCATAGCTTCTGGTTGTCAGAAAAACCATGCTTTCCTTTATTGAAGGAATTTGGTCCTGCTGAGGTTGGTGTATCCCTGTGAAGAGTAAAACAAGATCAGTTGAGAAAGTCAGTTCAGCTGTAGTAGTTTGTGCAACATGACACTGAACACACCAATTTCAAGCCCAACCTGCCACACGTTTGTTTCTTTCCATTACATCAGGAGTCCTCACTATTAACTGCAAGTTGGCCACAGAACTAATCACTCTGTAGCATGTCAGGACAGAGCGATGAGATGGGGCAGCAGAGGAGGTGGGAGCAGCAGTAACTGCTGCCAGCTGTGAAGAATTTGTTGCAAGGGCTACAAAATTGAGGATCTAAATTTGCTACTAGAGAAAAAACCCCACTGAACAGTAGCGAGCCTCCAGGGAACCGACTTTAAAAGCAGTCTATCATGACAAACATCTTTAAAATATGTATGCTCAAAATTCATCCCTAACTCAAGTGAAGCCTCTTCTGAAAATGTCCCTATTTATTTTAGGGTTGGCCCAATACTCAAATTTGTGGCAAGCAGAAGAATTATATATATTTGTTTTAAAAGTACACAAGCTATTCTTTGTCTCTCTGAAAGAGATGATTCTCATCTTCCCCTTGCACAGGAGTTTAAAAATCTGAGCAGACTACCCTACTGCAGGGCAATTTATAAAATGGAGAACTAGAAAGATACAAAGTTTAGCAGCAAGCAGGAACTCCCACCTATTACCTTTCCAAGAAGAAAGCTAGCTTCTATTTAATACAGAATCAATTTCTTCCTCAGAAAGAAGGCGGCAGATAAGATTCAAAGTGCAAATGTAAATGTACTACTTTTAACATACAGCTGAAACATTAGAAAATATCTATATTAAAATTTTCCTGTTTCTGGAGAAAAACTTTTTGAATGTATTCTATCTTCCTATATTTCTAAACCACCTGCAAGATCTGACCTGTGCTCGAGAAGGAATTCTCACACACTTGCCCTTCCCCAAACCATAGTTAAAAGCTGACCTACCTTCCAATGTTCTTCATGCGCATCTTGGCTTCTGGAGGCATTTCTTCTGGTTCACTCTACAGAGAGAAAGGAGGTTAGAGTGTGGCTGGCCGCTATCTTTTGAACATTTCAAATGCCTGACAAGATAAAGTATGGACTACAGTCCCACAGGAAAGCAAAGCGACTTAGAACAAAACAGAGGTTCTACAAGGTTATAGAAAGAAATACAAATTCCTTTGTTCACCTCTGTGTAAGATGGAGCAGTAACACAACAATAAAATATTTAGCAAACCAGAAGCAGCACAGCTTTTCTTTGTCTCCCCTTTATCAAGCCCAGAGAAAGCCACCATTAATTCAAATGATGTTGTGCATCTCATTTTCAGGGAAAAGTTATCAGTACTTTAATGATTTCTTGAACCAACACAGAGCTACAAAGTTGTACATTCTTAAACAGAAACACAAGAGATGTTTCTAGGTTGAAAATCCCTGACATTTATGTAAAGAACCTTAAATGACCCACTCTCTCTGCCTAATTCTAACCCACAAGGGTACTTTAAGTTGTGTTGATCACTAGCTTATTACTCACATCTTCATCTTCATTGAAAGCTGCTGCTACAGAAAGGGTTTTTGGAGCAAGGGTTGGAACAGGCTCTTTAGGCTTCTGAAAAAGACCAAACGCACAAGTAAAGTAAGTCTACTAACTCAAAAAAGCTACCCTTGGTATTTATATATATGTGTTGGTAAAATGAAGTCAAACATCTTCACTGAAATGGGCAGTGAGGGAGGAAAAGTGTTTTTGTTTGAATCAATCAGATAAAGGTTTCTCTCTAATGAAAAAGGAAAATGGCTGTTCATTTGTGTGTGATATACTCTGAAAAGCAAGTCGAGCCCTCTCATATTACAATTCCCCACAAGCAAGTCTTAACTTTCTAGCACACTGCAGGGGTATGCAGCCACTGGTGCATGACATGAACAATTAAATCAGAACCTGAACAAGTTGTGGTATTCAAAATTTTACTATGTCACCGTTTCCATTATTCTTTTGGAGTATTCTTATCCATCAATGCCAGGAAGATGAATACGTCTGTTTTCTTGTCTTTTAACAAGATAACAGCTTTCTGGCTTAAAACAATTCAATACTTTTTAACTAGCATGAGTGTGCATCACACAGTCCAATTAATATAAGGCTCCTTTAAAAAGTATTATTTTAATTTCCAGTAAATACCTTCCTCTATTTAAAGTGTAAGAAGCTATCAAACTCACAGCTGTTACATGTAATACAGCAGAGATACTGAAAGTAACTTCGAGACCGCTAAGAAAGCATTGAGTCATCAGTAACAGTTTGCTTCTACAGTACTACCAATTATCTAAATCAATTATATACAGTGCTTCCTCCATTTTGACTTTACTGGTGATTATTTCATATACATTCATAGTTTCGAAGCTGATACTGCAGCAGAGAGTCCTTATGCGACTGTCTACAGCTATTCCTCACCAATAGCGTATAACGTATAAATGTTGTGCCATTTTTTAAAGCATCAGCTCCACAAGAATGGGTAACAAGGGAGTAAAAATGACTAAAAAGAAACAGGGTAAGTTTCAGCACTGTCCAATCTGGTGCACTGTCAGTCACCCACTAAATTCAGTGAGCCAGAAATCCTAAGCCAAATTTATTGCCACTGGAAGTATCTTTCTACATGAGAAATCAGAGCTTGCTAGTGGCTCAGAGAGGCAGCTTTGTCAATTTTTCCAAAGTCTAAGCTGACCTGATTGCATTTATACCCTAGAAAGCTGCCAGCCCGCATCTCCCTCCCATCTCAAAATAACAGAGCACTCTTTTCATCTTTTGCAGATCTGGAAAATGCTGGCATTGCAGGTGCAAACCTTTCTCGACTACAGTTTGAATTTAATCCAGACAAGGATTTATAATGTATCCATCACAGTGGTACGTGGGAAGTGTAAATGAACTATATTAAATAGAGAGGCAGCATCTGGCTTGTCCTTGCCCAAGCTAGTAGAGGACTACTTTGGTAGCAAAGAGAAGCATCAGATTCACATCTGAACAAGGACAGGGATACCTTGTACTGGACAATAAAGGGGATCAGAATTCTTAGGAACCTATGTAATGAAGCCTCATCTCTTGCATGTAGTATAAATGAATCCTAGTGACCTTGCAAAGAACAGGCAAAGTCATTGAAAAATAAACTATAGTTCCCCATGCTAAAATAGTATCTTTGGAGTGAAAGACGACCTATTAAGCCATCTAGGAGAGTACTTGTTTTCTTGTAGCTTTAAGCATCCTACGCAATGAAGCTCCCAACACTCATTTCAAAGTAGCCTCAACAGTTTAACAAGTCTGCTCATTTCCCTCAGGAAATTATTCCAGACTTCTCAAATCTCATTACAAAATTACTCTGTATGTTCAAAGATCTACAGTTCATTTCAATCAAGTCTTACGCTTCCTGAGACAACTGACCTGGTATTAATCACCTTGAAGTACTTACACATGCATGACTAGCTGGCCCTGCAATGCTTTCTTAAACTTTATCCAAGTCACCCACATGCAATTCAAGGCCTTCCTTCTGCAAGGAAGCCTCCCCAAAGTATTTCTCCCTTTGCCTCACTTCCCTTACAATTAAAAGCCTTCAGACGACTTACATTTGCTCCTAGTTTGATGGATATTGCAGATGCCTTCTTTGCTGTCTGACTGCCTATGGAAAATCCAAACTTGGACATTTTGGCAGGAGCAGGCTTTGTGGTGAAGTCTTCAGCTTCTTCATTAGCTGCCCGTTTCTCTGCGCTGCGACTCGAACTTTCTCCTCCATTACTGGAAGAAACAGTCTTAGTTTTCACAGGTTTTTCTGCCTCTTCTTCAGGTCCTGGTGAAGTCGAAACAACTTACCAAGATGAGCTATTTTTACTGAGCAGATTGATGGGAGCAGCAACCTCAAAAAGCATTATACTTTGGGTTCAACAGGTAAGGTGTTTTTAGTGACAGCAGTTTCCACCAATGTACATTTAGTGGACAGCAAAACACAAAGAGGAGAAGAAACTGCAAGCACTCCACTACTTGTAAAGAACTTCTTGGGTATAAGCCAGGAAAACAATCTTGAAGCACCATCTCTTTATTTAGTACAGAAGTCAAAGTTCATGTAGTAAATTAAATGTAGATGACTAAATCTTTTTAGGGTTTAAGTTCCCATAGATAAGCTTTCATAATTGGAATCCCAATTCCAAATCTAGAGTAGATAATCTAAGTTAAAATTAATTCTACTACATTTCTACACAATCATGTCCATGCCAGTCTCTAGGCTTGTCTGGCACAACTCTAAAATCATGGAAGTGACTACAGTGAGGCCGGCTGTCTCAATCATGTTTCAAGTCACTGCTTGTCCGCATCTCATCTGTAATAAATCTGCCAAGCTCTGCTTGAGGAAGGAATCAGCACTAGAAAAACATATATATAGATTTCATCTTTTCTGGTTTTGTACAAAGGCATGGAAAACATAGCAGCTGAACAATGATCCACAGAGAAAAACACTCAAATCACATTTTCATTCCTATACACTCAGCTTCTTCAGCTACACCAAGAGACAAAGGTGTCCTTGGAAAACTCGTACTGAACATAGTAAATGCTTCAGCAAAAATACATTTCTCTGCTGCTGCAATAAGCAAATCACTGCAGCAGCAGAAGGAAAAAAAAAAACCAACAAACCCCACGCGTTGGGGAATGGACAGGAAAGTGCTCATACTATCAGCCTAAGAAAAACTGGAGCTAGCACCAGTTCCTCATTATATCAAGCGGAGAACAGGACCCTCTATGCACAGCAAATTCAGACCATCAGGGGAGAAAGTTCTTTGCACTGCTCTCTAACAGCAAAAAGCTATTAAGATAGAGCAATGGGAGAGAAGCTAGTCTGAACTGGGGGTCAATAAGATTGTAGCTCTGAAAAAAAAAGGAAGCAAACAACATCAGGAGAAAGAAAACTAGGGACACCATCCATCTATATTTTTCTGCTATTTCCCAAATCATTAGCAGCAGAATATACCCTTTCTACCCCACTCTTCTAGCTATCAAGGTAATAAGTGATTGGAACAAAAATGGATTTATTATTCACTTTTGGAAACATGGCAGATCACACAAAAAAATAAAATTAATAACTTCAATCAATTTCACTCTATTAAAAAATGGTACTAGTCTGCACCACTACAAATTTGACCCAGAAAGTACAGATATAAAAGTGACAAACAAAGGAAGAAAGAGAAACAAGCAAAATTTACCCAAGTGACCTTGGGTACTGATTGCTGTCTTAGCACAGTTTTCCAAACAGCAGTCTGCAAGGCTATGAGAAGCTCTTTACAGCTAGTCCATGAAATCACATTAAACAGAACATTCAATTACAAGTCCAGTCTAGGTACACCATAGACTGTAAGGTGATTTGAGGGTAGGTAGAAGATTCCTGGGCCTTAAAAGTGTCGGAACCATGGGCCTAAAAGTCTTCTTTTTCATAAGATACAAAATCCACAGCAGCCCAAATGTCAGGGCACACTGGACCAGGCCAGGTTCCTAAGCTAATGCTAGCTTGAAGCGATTTACACTACAGGTTACTTCTTTGACTGCAAATTCTAGAACATTGCTAAGCACAAGATGAAGCCTAACACAATCTACCCACATCTGTTTTCTCACCAAAATATTAAATAGCTTCTCTCTCAAAATTAGCTCCTATCACCACTGCATTCTGAATGTTACTTCTACTAGGCTCCACTTAAGACAAACTGTAGACTGCTGAAAGAAATAGCTTCCTTACAAAAACTCTTACTTGCTGAAGGAGCTATAAAGGGCATAGGACAATTGGGGTAGGTGGGGAGGGAGCCGTTGTGCTGTTCTATTTCTGCAGGAAACAGTTAGAAATGCAGATGTATATTATCCATTAAACAGGTCTCTCACATCTCCCATGCCAATGCATATATATTTTTCAAGACATTAAGGCTTCTTTATTATTTCCTAGAGATCTCAAGGAGGTCATACTTCACCTGTGAAAAGCACCAGTACTATTTCAAACACTAGGCTGACCAGTGCTCTTTTCATGGATCACAGGAACAAAAAGCTGTCCTACTTCACAGATGAGTTTTTGTCATGAGTATCAACAAGCTATGTAAGTGGACAACTTTCACTGTCTAGAAGGTTTAAGAGACAAGAATGACAGTGCTAATTGCACAACATTTCAGGATCTCTTGCCCCTGAGAGTGCAACCGTTGGTGGTGGTAGTGGGAACAAACCCACCCAAACTAAGTTAACTTTAAGATAAACCCCACTGATCTTGGCAAAAGCTAAAGACTCTAAATTGCTTTCAAAAATCACCAGGGAGTAACTATCCTTCCTTAGGGCCAATGTACCATAACTCATTAAGATCATGTTCCAGCACACCAAACAGTACACAAAACAGCACGGATTAACTGACATATTGATGCTGTCCAGCTACTGTATTACCAATACAAAAAAAAAAAAAAAACAAACCAAAACCCAACCAACCAAAAAAAAAACCCAAAAAACCCAACAGAGAACCAAGAGTCAAGAAACTACCTAAAATCAGGTATTACTGTTCATATTTTAGTGATTATCAGAAATAACATTCACTGTTAAAGCTATCTTAAATGGTTTACAAGCTTGACTTAATCTTTCAAAAGATGAAAGAAATGTCCTCTGTCTACAGATATACTTAAACCAAAAAACCACAGGAAAGGGAAGCTTTATCTTTGCTGCAAAGACACTGTCTTCTCAGTTTTAAGTCAGAGGAAGAAAGAAGGAAAGAAACATGATTAAAAATTTTAGGAGAACTGATAATAAGTAGTACAGAAGATGACAGGAATGTCCAGTCATAATACAAATAATATAAAAACAAACAGAAAACTTGCAGATCGCTGCCAAGCAAAAAACTCAGGATGCTTAAAACGGCAGATAAGGAATATTCACTGTACCCATTTTTAAAAGGTACCACAGCTCTTAAAAGCTAATCTTTAAGGCGTTGTCTTCGTCCTTGCCAGCAGCAACAGTCAAATTTCTCTCAATACACGGCAGAACTATTCCGTGTATTTTTTACGGAGAGAGAAATAACGCGTTTACGTGCACAAGGAGAAGCCGTTAGATTTTTAAAAAAGCTCCTGTAAGGCTGAGGCTAACCCTCAGGCGTGAGGACAGCGGGCCCAGACCTCGGCCTCTCCTCCAGCGCAGCCCCCCTCAGGCCCGGGCCGCCCCCGCTCCCCGCAGGGCCGGGCACGGCACCGCCCGGCCCAGCCCAGGCCTGCCCGGCCGCCCGCGGGCGCCCCCGCCGCCCCGCGCCC